TGGGGGGAGTGCGGAGTGGAGAGCCAAAGCCCATTAGTAGACCACTGGAGATCCCCTTGCAGAGGGGTCTCAGGGAGGAGATGAGTCAGCACGTTTTTTAATGCAGTTTTTGTGGTAAATTTAGGTGCCTCCAGCTCATATTCAGGGCGGCTTATACTCAAGTGTATACGGTAAACCAATTTTGATCATTTGGACTTTCAAGTCATGAAAGGATATGTGAGCTGGGGGTGTAGCATCAAAACCACACCTGAGACTTTTTAAAAACTCTCAAGTGGTGTCCTTCTTCGCCACTCTGATTCACTGAGCCAATTATAAAACGTTACAATTCCCTTTTGTACACTTTAGTTGAAAACCACTGGTTTATGGCAACAGTTGGTTAGAAGACTTGAGGTTTTGATAGTCTCCAGGAATTTACCTATGTGGTCACCTTTGTGCCACACCTCTGAGATTCAGTAATTCAATAGTGCAGTCACCTCACTGGAGACCCCCTTTATACTATATAGACTTCAAAGGTACAGTGGGGAGTGGTTACTAAAATTAGTGGAATAATAAACTTAAGTATTTCTAATCTCCCAGTAGTTTGTTGATCTCTAGATGAGATGTATAAATGTCCTTGTTATATTTGACTGAAGGAGAGTAATGGGTTAATCGTTAAAAGCTAAATTCACTAATGCTGCCTCTTGAATGAAAAAGACAGATAATCTAATTTTTCTTTTTTTAACTAGAAGAGAAATTAAGCTCAGAGGTGGATTGACTTACCCAAAATAGCACTGTTTGGTAAATAAATTTAGAACTTGAATCATGATATGACTTAAAAAACAAAGACACATTTTTTTCCTTTCATTATTTGAAATTAATATGAGTTTTACAATAAGTATTTTATCTGATATTTAATTTTTTATGAATATTATTTAATGGTTTATTCGTTTTCTTTAAAATAGAAGAGCCAAAATAGTAGTAGTCAAAAAAAGAAATACTTTTATAGTACCTTAGTTTCCTTTTGTTTGTTTCTTTTTTAAAGGGTGTGCCATCAGCTGAGTATGTCAACCTGCCCTAGAAATGTCCTGTATGTTAGTGCAGTGTACTGGTTTGTTTTGTGGGTAAGAAATAGGAAGCCCACAGGAAATGTAGTCAATCCATAGATACAAAATTGTTTTCATTCCTTTGCTTATGGTAGAATTTATAGACCATATAATTATTTTTATTCTTATATGCAATTGGTTAGAAAAAGTTGAGCAGATTATTTCTTACTTCTTTTTTTATTCCTGATTAAGAAAAATGTTCCAGAGTGGGGGGCTAAAGGGGGAATCGATCACAAGGATCAATCTATAACCCCCTTCCAGGTGGACGAATATCAGAAAAGTGGGTGAGGGGTGATGGAGGACCATATAAGATGGAAATAATAATCTATAACTTATCAAGGGTTCGTGAGGGAGTGCAGGCAGGGGAGGGAGGGGGAAGAAATGAGTAGCTGATATCAGGGGCTCAAGTGGGAAGAGAATGCTTTGAAAATGACAATGGCAGCATATGTGCAAAGGTGCTTGACACTGGATGAATGTATGGATTATGATAAGAGATGTAAGAGCCCCCAATAAAAGTCTTTCAGAAAAAAAGAAAAATGTTCCATTAGTGATGAATCTTTAATAAACTTGTTCTGATTGTTTGTTTGTTTTTCTTCAATAAATGTCAGTTAAAGAGAAATTGACTGCGGATCCAGACAGTGAAATAGCTACAACCAGCCTAAGGGTTTCTCTACTATGCCCAGTAAGTATTAAATAATACTTGTTTTCCAAAAGATTTAACATAAATGTCTTCTTAAGTTATTTGCTGTGTGTGAGAAAATATGTATACATTTTAAACCTACCCACCTTTCTTACAGTTTGTTAAAATGGAAAGAATTTTTAGAATGTATACAGTAATTTTTATATCTTTAGTAAGACATCTAAATATTACTGGTGATTAATGACTCTCCTGTGCAATTGTGAAATCTCAAAATAAGGAGTATTGATTATCTCAGTGTATTTTTTATAAATTAATCTTTAAAATATATTTCATTGAATAAAAATCTGACCATGATTACTTACATATTCAATTTAACCATTTTGCCAACTACATTATAAGGTTAGAAACTATTCTCTTCAGCCTGAATCATTGAATTAGTTTTCTATACAAAAATCACTAGAAAAAGTTTTAAGCCAGAAAACGGATTCAAAATCAGTCGTTTTAATGAAATAAATATAAGGCCATAAGACTAAATGGTTAAACATTGAGAAAACTTAAAAAAATGTTTTAAAATTATTTTTTCTTGCAGGTTGTCTCTGAACGAATTTGATGTTAAGAGTAGCATAAGTGATAGTTGAATATGGCTTTCATGCAAAAATATAACAGAAAGGAACAAAGGAAGTACATAGAAATTATATCTTTAAGTGTTACCTGCCCTACATCTTTTATAATTTATGAAACTTTGAACACAATATGAAAAAGCTCTTGAGTTAGTTTCTAATACTATAGTTTATGTAACCCTTTAAAAACAAATATTTCATATGTGTATATTTATTTATGTATGCATATGTGTATATATATGTAAGTGTAACAAGGAAAGAGATGGACTTTGGGCCTATGAAATCTTACCTCTGTACAGGAATGTTTTGTTCTAATAATGTGTCAGGGTATGATACTCACCTCCCTGACACAATCACTGAGGACAGAATGGGTGCATAAGCAAATGGGGTGAAGAAAGTTGTGAAATGATTCTTAATACCATACTTCTTTACACGGACAATACAAATTCACTGACTTCTTAGAGTCCTTTTGACATAAACTGGTTTTCCCCAAGGGCATTATCTCTTGCAACATCATCTATTAGTGCACGCAAAGTAGCAATCTAGTAAGATTGGTCACAGTGGAAACCCTGCTTGGGAATTGATTTCAGAGTGTTTACTGGGAAGTGATGCTAATATCCATCACTTTCCTATAAGAAGGAAGGGCTTGTCATTACCAGATGAAGACGTTAGAAATTCGGCTACTCTTCTCATAACAATTTAGAAGACTTTAGGATCCGTTTGTTAGTTAAATATTTAGACGTTCATGATTTTTAAGAACCAGAAAGATGAGAGGAAGCTAACAAAATAGTTAGCATGTAGTTCTTTGAGAGACGGCATTTGTGTGACAGCTAATCAACGGTGTACTTGAAAGTGAAATATTTCCGTTTGTAAGTGTCCTTTTTATGCCCTTCATGCTTTAGCCTTCCTTTTAAAAAAATGCAGGCCAGCTTATCAGTGTGGCTGATCATAAGAGCTAGCTAGAGCTTTGCTCTCTCTAACTTAACTGTGGGTTGGTTAGGGGGATATAGAATTTTTGTCTAAATTTTTGATTTTCTATATTTAGTATTAATGAGCCCTGGTGGTGTACTGGGTTTACCCATGGGGCTACAAAACCACAAGATCAGCAGATTGAAACCACTAGCTGATCCACAGGAGAAAGGTGGCGGTTTCTACTCCTGCAATTTCAGAAACCCACAGGGGCAGTTCTACTCCATCCTACAGGGTTGCTGTGAGTCAGAATCGGCCCAGTGGGAATGAGTGTCTGCTGTTTAGTATTAGAGTAATAGCAAAATACAGAGTGGGTTGGAATTTGCACTTCACAGGTAGATTAAGATCTTATTTCAGATATAAAAATTTTGCTCTGGTTCTTTGGAAAATGTATTTAGATTAACACAGCATGCACTGGCTCATGGTCCACAGAGGATTTTTCTGTTAAGTGCCTGAATTTACTTGAGGGTTAGTGGGTATTTCATCTGGAACGTATGTGTACTATAAGAATTAAATAAAATGTGAGACAATAATGAGGTTGACTAAAACCGTGTGGCATAGACGAGAAAGAATGACTGAGCAGAGGTTGGGTTGGGTTTCCTACCTGGTTACAAAGTGATTTAAAGCAAGTATGTTTCCTTAACTAACAGTAGGTGACACCATATGTGTTAGACTGCACAGTAAGCATATAGGTAGGTAATGTAATGCCTGTCATACTCTGGAATGGGAGAGGGGCTTTCTGTTCCCTCCCTTAAGCCAGTGGTTCTCAACCTTCCTAAAGCGCAACCCGTTCATAGTTCCTCGGGTCGTGGTGACCCCCAACCGTAGTTATTTTCGTTGCTACTTCATACCTGTAGTTTTGCTACTGTTATGAATTGGGTGACCTCTGTGAAAGGGTCATTCCACCCCAAAGGGGTTGTGACCCACAGGTTGAGAACTGCTGCCTTAAAGAGTTGCCGTCTCAGAAACTCACAGGTAGTTCTACCCTGTCCTGTAATGTTCCTGTGAGTTGGCATGTACTCGATGGCAGTGAGGTTGTGTTTTTGTTTTGTACTATGGGATAGTGCTAGTTTTGCCCCCATTTCACTAAAACGTGTTCCAGAGAGACTTTTAGAATTTACACAGTTAGTGAGTAGTAGGGCTTGAATTTAAACCTAGCTGGTCTAAATTAAAAAAAAAAATCTGGGAGGCCTGGTGACATAGTGGTTACATATTGGGCTGCTAACCACACAGTGAGCAGTTAAAAACTACCAACTGTTCAGGGGGAGAAAGACAGGGATTTCTGTAAAGAGTTATAGTCTTGGAAATTAACTGGAGCAGTTCTGTCCTGTCCTATAGGATTTACTATGAGTCTGCATCGAATCTAGGGGCGTGGGGGCGTGTAACTCCAAGGGCTCTGGTGACACAGTGGTTAAGTGCTCAGCTGCTAACCAAAAGATCAATGGTATGAGCCCACCATCTGCTCTGTGGAAGAAAGATGTGGCAGTTTGCTTCTCTGAATCTTTATGGCTTTGGAAAACCTCTTGTGCAGTTTTCCCTGGCCTGTATGTTTGCACTGAGTGAGTATCACCTCAACATTAGGGTAGTCTAAGTTTAGAATTGAACCTGCTTACCTTGTACATCCTTTGTAAATGCTGCTTTCTAAGCCTTTATTCATCATGGTAACTAGACTAGCTCCCTGTTGTGTCTGCGTAGCAAGTATTTCTAAGTACTGGAAACAGAGATCAAGCTGGTGCATTTCTAGTGCATGTACACATAAATAAGTAGTGTAATGAAATGTTGCCATATGCGAGGTGTAGAGGTGGGGCCTGAGGTGCGAGCTCTTCGTTCTCCTTGGAAGGTCCCTCTTAGCCATACTTCTGATACTGTAAACTGGTAGTACTCACTTCTCATAAGTGTTTATAGCACTTCCGTGTTCTTCCTTCGTATATGTAGTCTTGAAGTGAGGAGGAAGCAGTGTTACTTTAGAGATTTAAAAAAAAAAAAAGAAGCCTGGCCAATGAAACTATTTGAAAACAGAAAAAGAATCCCAGATAAGTTTTTAAGTGCCCTTCTTAGAGGAACAATTACTGGTACCAGA